CACTCACAGCTCTATTATATGCTAATTTATTATACTTTACCTGTTGCCAGAAACAATGCCGATGAAGGACCAGCCCCAAAAGTAATGGTGACTGTACCAAATCTGCGGGCGGCATCGTAGAACAAACGAACCAAAAATTAACTTTTGCGCCAAACAAACGTTTGTCATTCATGTTTGCGAAGATTACGCTACGTGCGCGCTATTCGCTATTGTTAAAATATTTACGGGTTGCTAGCCGAGCCGTTTACTTAGGACCAATAGTTCCTGAATCAGCTCGTGGAACCCCAAACATCGCTGTATATAATCTTCGGTGCTGTAATCATGTGAAAATAGCCAAAGGTACCCGGAATTCGTGTCCCTTCGTCCAGCATACTCACCATGGAATCCTGATATTTCATGAATGTCAAAAAACTGTTCTGAAATAGTGCTAAATAGTGCCCAAAGGAAAAAAATAGTGCTCTTGTACTTGCGAAGTTATAGCCATAGTTCGATGAGTATGCTGGACGAAGGTTTCGCCCAGCATACTCACCTCCGTCCGGAGAATCTGTATACGCTTCAAACATAATTCATACTTCAAAAAATAGTTCCCAAATAGTGCCAAACGGTGCCCAAAAAGAAAAAACAGTGCTCGAATAACTTCGGAGTTATAGGCTTCGTTCAGTGAGTATGCTGGGCGTAGGTTCTACGCCCAGCATACTCACCTCAGTGCGCGAATATCGAACGAGCTATAGGTACAATTTACGTCTCAAAAAATTGTGCTTGAAATAGTGCCCAATATCAGTCCAATTTTTGCTTGACTTTTGACCTAGAAAACCATTAAATTTGATTGTAAACTTCTACATACATTACATTGAGTACAGTCGAATACAATATTATTAACTTTCTTTCTAACAATTTTTGTCTTGTGTAAATTATTAATTGTCTATGTAAGGGAGTATTTACTTTAGAATCGCAATATTATTAATTACACATTATTTTAATAATACTTTATAATAATATGATTAAGCCTTCGCGCGTCGCATGGGACCCCGGTAGCTAGGAACAATGATTTTATATATTTTGTCTAGATCACGGCGCTTGAAGGATTAAGATATCAAATGAAGTAAATCATGCATGAAAAATAAAGTTGCTGTTATTAATGCTTACATTACAACTGACAAAATTATTCAAAATAATCATTTTCCGGATCAAGGACGGTACCACAACGTTTACGGAATTGACCTGTATTCCTCATGTGATAAAGTTCAATATAGTGTGGCAGTAATGGATGCACGTACGGTCAATAGGTATGGGGCTTACGACGCGCGGCGCCCGCGACGCAAATGAATATGTTTATGTTTAAATACTAGATGGCGCTGCCCTAACATCTTACGATTATTAGACAAGACTGATCTGTATTTTGAAGGTGATAAGGGTCCATTTTGTGTCACAAAGCGACGCGCGGCGCCCGCGACGCTTTTATTTATTGGCTGCAAATGACTGTTTTTATTCAGACAAACACACAATGCAATGAAGTAATAGACTTCATTTACGCTTAAAGTTTCATTCATTTATTATTATTTATAAAATATATAATAATGCATTTAATCGAAAGTTTTTGACATGTGAGAAAATACCATAATTATTTCCAATAACATGAAGTCTACAATTAGAAAGTTTAATATTTTTGTCCAAAAACATGTGTCGACGACTGTACCCCATTTTACGTTAGTATGTAGAAGTTTACATTAAAATTTAATGGTTTTCTAAGTCAAAAGTCAAGCAAAAATTGGACTGATATTGGGCACTATTTCAAGCACAATTTTTTGAGACGTAAATTGTACCTATAGCTCGTTCGATATTCGCGCACTGAGGTGAGTATGCTGGGCGTAGAACCTACGCCCAGCATACTCACTGAACGAAGCCTATAACTCCGAAGTTATTCGAGCACTGTTTTTTCTTTTTGGGCACCGTTTGGCACTATTTGGGAACTATTTTTTGAAGTATGAATTATGTTTGAAGCGTATACAGATTCTCCGGACGGAGGTGAGTATGCTGGGCGAAACCTTCGTCCAGCATACTCATCGAACTATGGCTATAACTTCGCAAGTACAAGAGCACTATTTTTTTCCTTTGGGCACTATTTAGCACTATTTCAGAACAGTTTTTTGACATTCATGAAATATCAGGATTCCATGGTGAGTATGCTGGACGAAGGGACACCGGAATTCGGGTCAGAACTCTTGCGGGACCGATTAGAACGGATTTACAACCAAACCGTACTGTTTTTGCATTATTTATATGTAATTCTCAGGATATTTTGTTTGGTGTCCGTAATTTGGAGATAAATTGGTTTGTTTTGTAACATTGTGATTTTGTTGGATTTTGTAAATGTCTTTTGGTGTCTCTGGGTACAGTAAGTGACTGAATACTTTAGTAACAGCAGTGATAAATGCTTTGGAAAAACTTACAGCAATTTTAATGTATGTTGTATTGCTATTATTTTTAATTATGTTGCTTAATTTTAACACGTAGCAATATTAGTTTATAGTAGTTCTTGCTCGGACTTAGATGATTGATTTGGGTCTTAATTTCATTTCGCCCATATTATTAGATGATAATTATTTTGAAATACCACATGTTATAGTTTTATTTAATGAAGTATACTAATTAAGTTCCTGTGTGCAGTTTTTCTTACACATAGGTATATATATAGGGCTTTTTAGAATCTCATCATACATACAATGTGGTTCAACTCAATAGTAATTGATCATTTAATAGTAGAAATAGAATTGTTGCTAAAATATCAATTTCACGCTTTGTCTCCCATAGGGGTAGGCAAAGACTATGGACCGGTACCACTTGAATCCCACCCAGCTCAATTGCGGCGGTATTTCATTTGTAAAGATATAGAAATTGCTCAAGACTGAAAGAGATGGCAGAAAATGAAGGAGGCCTACACCCTAAGGGTAGAAAAAGGCTAAAGAAGAAGGAGAAGAAGAAGAAGTTGCTGATATTTTATAAGTGTAATCGTCGTTGTCATTCCAATGACGACACGTCCACTATTGGACTAATAGCAGTGACTTCAATAATATCGCCCTTTTGGAAGCGGCTTCCATCCAGTACCTACATACAAGAACTGACGGCCGATAGGGCAAAAAAGTTCTCACGTTGAGACGATTAAAGTACCTATCTACAGCACACAGTATCCAAACAGACAAGATAACCATTCTAGTATTACATACATGACATACATAACTACCAAAATAACATAATAACATAGATGACAACATATTACTTGAAAACATTCAATGTAAATTACGTAACATGGGTAGGTACACTTGGGAGCAGAGAATCGGAGCCTCTAAAATTTTTTTTCGTTTTATCGATCCTTCTAGAACTTTAAAATATTATTTTTACAATAAAATGCTCCGATGTTAAAGATAACTAAATTGTCTTTTATATGACATACGTTACCAATTAATAAAATACTTGTATCAAAAATATTTATCAATAACTGAAAAAGAATCGTAAATAAACTAAATCGGTTTTTTAAAACCGACTTAAACCCCATCTTTTTTTGAAGTCGGTTAATTACTATAATAAAACCTTCTCCTAAGTGTAACAAACGCTTTTCTGAAAACCGCATCCAAATCGGTTGAGCCAATCGCGAGATAATTGCGAACACACATAAATACATACAGGTCAAACTGTGAACCTCCTTTTTTTGAAATCGGTTAAGAGAACGCTAATTTCTTCCGTTTCTTAGCTCCCAAGTAAACCTAAATAATAAATATTTTTACGTAATATTGAAGAAACGAGAGAGTATGCACTATGCAGGTGCGATTTTTTAGTCAGTAAGAGTCTGACACTCCCTCTCGCTCGCCTCACCCGGGCGGGAGAACCCATTGGATGATTTTCAGCCCACAAAAAAACGGTGCGATTATCGCTGTTCTTAAAATAATTATGTAAACGTAATAATTTAAATATTTGCTGAAACTGTCAAAAATATTACGATGCACCACTTGATTAAACACAAAGTACGAATACTAGGAATTACAATTTTTATGATGTGTCTGTCGTCAACATTCGCTTTAAATGAAAATTATCGATAAAATTAAAGTTCACGTTCGATAACCACAAAAATCCAGAGAGGTTTTTTCTATTTATTTTTTACTTTTATTTTTATAAACGTTGCCCCACACTTAAATTTTCTCCTGTGTCGTGGGTGCGTTTACAAACATACAAGTTCACATACACATGACACCCAGACCCGAAACAACAGTTTGTGGATTACACTACATAAAAGTTTCTTCGTGTGGGAATTGAACCCGCGACACGTTGCGCGGCAGCCTTTTGCATAGCCACCGCACCAACCGTGCCGTCAGTTTAGAATTTTAAAAGTTCTTTCATTGAAATAATGATTTAACTAAAAGCTTTTATGGCACCTTGAAATTAAGCTATACTATCAAGAGTGTCAAATCACTAAAAAAATTTTATCAACTGTCATGATTTTAAAGAGTTTGTATAAAACCATCAGATAAAACTGATCTATATGTAGACAGGAGCAGGGTCCAAGCTACCAGTGGTTAGGGCTCTAGAGACAGAGGTTTCCTCATGATACGTGCCCTTGATCCAAACACCTAACGCTAGCCTCCTAAGATGGATGTCAAGGCTTACAGGGACGACACGACTAACGGCATAATGATCCAAATCCACACTCCACATGTCGACAACCTCGTCAACTAAAATTTGTTCTTACTAAATTTATGAGATTCTTACGAATACTTGAACCAATGTCAAAGACACTAATGCACCATCACGAATATAAAATACTGTTTGAGGAAGACCAAGAAGTAAGATAGAACATTCTTAGAGAAAATCTTTGTATCGTATGTAGGACTGTAGGCATCGATTCAACTACATCGATTATCGATATCCGCCAATGCGGTAACAACCATAGGTAAATTATTTTTTATGTTAAAACAAAATTTCGTCATAATACCTATAATGTGGACAAACGAGAACATAATATAAAGCAACGATGTTTGTCTACTCAATGTAGTCGATCAAAATGTCGTTAAAGTAAGTTATATTCGTGGTCATAATTATATTTTTTAAATTTTAGATCAGCTTTCCACTAACAATGATAAATTTCCAGCATCACCACGTCACCGTGTTGGTCACAATTGATCAGTACCGCTGGAATCACACCCAGTACAATAGCAGCGGTATTTCAGTGTTTTGCAGCTGCTAATTTACTTTTATTAGATGACAACTCGGTACCAGATGTTTCAACTGACTATGGTAAGCTCTTTTTATTATCTACCTACACCTTATTAAATATCACTCCTTTTTGGTATCTGAAAATATATTTCCTGGTCTTCTCAACAATTATCATCTTGCACTCCATGTATATCCACCGCTTACTGGATGCGACAGTTAACATCAGTGTTCGCACGACTACCACTATCAATTACCAATATTCATAGCAATTTTAAAATGTTAGGAAGGGTCATCCATCCACAGACATTATTATCATATCAACGATAAGACTTATTATACAGACCATAGGCCCCCTCTGATATCTTTCAGGTTACTGTTTAAATGTATTTTGATACTATTTTGAAATTTTGTTTAAGATTCCGGTGAATTTGACTTCATAATAATTGGTGCGGGATCCGCGGGAAGTGTAGTTGCAAATAGATTAAGTGAAATAGAAGACTGGAACATCTTGCTTTTAGAGGCTGGAGGAGTCCCGCCAATTGCATCTGATGTATGTATATTTTTTAAATAGCAAGCCAAAAATTTGACCACTAAATCATTATTTGTAACTATTCGTATCATATATTTGTATCTTCCGTTAACGTAATATTAATTATTTTTGAGTAAAAGTTTCAGTTGTGACTCATGTTATATTTACTTACAATCTTCTGAATATTCAGTTTGTCATTTTTAGATACCTGGGCTGCAAACTGTTTTGTACGGAACTGAAAATGATTGGCAATACACAACAGTAAATAATGGTATTACAAGTCAAGGACTCATAAATGGTTCCGTAGCATGGACAAAAGGAAAGATGCTTGGAGGCAGTAGTAGCATAAATGCTTTAGCGTATGTACCAGGTAACACCCAAGACTACCAAAACTGGTATAACGCAGGAAACGAAGAATGGAGTTTAGAACATGTGGACAGATGTTTCAAGAAATTAGAGAGTCTTCAAAATGAGAATATGTTGCAAGATCCAAATATCAAAGATCTGTACGGTCATGATGGTCTATTAAAAATAAACAGATTCAATCACACACAGCGCACTTATACAGATTTTGTGATTAATTCGTGGGACAATATCGGATTTGAGAAAGTTTCTGACTTCAAAGCAACAAATTTCTTAGGCTCAGGCGTAATAATGGCTACAGCGACCAACGGAGTAAGACAGAGCACGAATAAGGCGTATTTACAGCCAGTTAAAGACAGATCAAATTTAATCATAATGACAGATAGCTTAGTAACCAAAATTTTGGTGAATGATACTTTATCAGCGTACGGTGTTGAAGTCGAGAAAGACGGCCAAAAAAAGGTTTATTACGCATCTAAAGAAATAATTTTAAGTGCTGGTTCTGTCAGTTCTCCACAGCTCTTAATGCTGTCTGGTGTGGGCCCTAAAGAACATCTTGAATCAAATAACATAGAAACTTTAGTTGATTCTCCGATGGTTGGACAAAATCTTCAAGACCATGCTTTATTGCCGATAACAATTTATGGCAATGCACCTGGAGAAAAAACATTACTTGACGTGATAAGTGATGTCACTGAATATGCTATAAAACAAGAAGGCATTTTTGCACAAAGCAGTATTATATCTGATGTTGCTGCATTTTATTCTACAGTGGAAGATGCCACCTATCCTAACATTGAAACTCATCTTACAATCGTCAACAAAAACAGTAATACACTTGAATACTCTTTACAGGCAAGTTTCCGTTACAATGATTCTGTATTAGCTTCAATCGCAGATCTGAATAAAGATTACGCGATTTATTTATTCGAGGCTATACTTTTGCATCCTTATTCCAAAGGTAACATTTCTTTGCAATCTAACGACCCAAAGGACGCACCTCTAATTTACGCGAACTATTTCGATGACAGTAGAGATTTAGATGTTGCAGTAGCTGGTATTAAAATGGCAACAAAAATTTTGGACACTCCATACTTCAAGATGATTAATGCCTTTTTGGGAAGGATGAATGTGCCGGAATGTAATGAGTATGAATTGGACAGTGAAGATTATTGGAGGTGTATTTCTAAAAACTTAGTCTCCTCCATCTTCCATCCCATGGGGTCCTGTAAAATGGGATCTGACATAAGTACGTCGGTAGTGAACAGTAGGCTACAAGTCCACGGTGTGAGCAACCTGCGTGTGATCGATGCTGGAGTATTTCCTTCGACCATAAGTGGCAACATCAATGGCGCTTGCATTATGGTGGGTGAAAGAGGATCGGAACTGATCAAAGAAGATTACAATAAAGAATAAAATTAACACAATAAATCTTTTTCTTTATTTTGCAGTACTTTTTTTTCTGACCGTTTGGGTTTTTCATTTTGACGAACCATAAGAACTAGATGAACTTTGCAATACCAACCAAAAATATTGACAGATGCAGTGTTCTACGTTCATTCTACGTACAGACAAAACTGAACGAATGAAATACATAATACTTTTTAACATAAGGTACCAAGCAGGTAGATAACTGTTTTTAATTGTCACGGTTGGTTAAATACTATAAGTTATAAAATTATAACAAGCGATGATAAAATCATCTTCCTGATGTTTTTGAAACTAGTTCAATCTGAATTGTAAGAATATCACCCACTTTTGCAATGGTAAGTCCTATATCAACAAAAACATTAGAGGGCTTAACTTTTATAGCCAGTGTTGCATAAACTACTTTATTTGGGTATAACCAGGGTGTCTTCATGGCCCGAGTGAATAGGTTGCTTATTGGACGACGTGCTTCATCGTAGACCGGATCATCGTGCACCACCAGGCGAGATAGTGGCCAAACGTAGGCCATTGAAATATCTGTAAAAAAATTAATAATAAACTTTAAAATGGACCTTCTTCATAATCCTGTCTCTTATAAATGCGACAGTCTGTGAGGGTACATGTGTGTGTGTTTATTACTCTTTCACGTCAAACGGCTAAAGGGATCAAGATAAAATTTAGAACAGGGGTAGATTAAGTACGGTCTGGAATAACACATACGCTATGTAGGTAGAGACTTATAAACTCTTTCCATTACACCTCTTTTCCAACTGTTCTTGCATTCACTCCTAATCACTGGAGCAACACCTCCCCATACCGCTATAAGTTAACCAGCCTCCAATCCTGACATGAACCATTAGAAAAGTAACCAATTTAGCAGGAGGACCCAGTAATAGCTCTCTATTACAGAAACTCCCAGCTAAATTGGGGTTAAGTTAATTATAGTTTAATTGTTATTTGTCGTACGGTCCAACCTAAGGACAAAGCACTTCATCACTTGCCGTGGGCGGTATAAAGGTGGGTAAGGAATTATAAATTGGGAGGGTCGATATTTTACGGATATTAGTTACGTGTACTAGCACCGGTTCTGACAAACTCCCAGTAGGTTATCAACGTTTTTTTACAAAATAATAATGTTTAAAATTGTCTGAACGGTGGTGGTATCTCATTCTATCAAACTACCAATAAGTTTTCGACGTTTTTCACAAAATACATAATAAAGTCGGAAATTAATTAATGTTATGTGGCATTTTGTGCTGACGTCTATATTAACAAACAAAATAATGAGGAAAATTACGAAAATTAATGTAAATATGTACATCTGTATTTACACTCATATTTGTACACTGTGACGTCTTACGTGCAGTTTGCTCGTCCAGTTACTGTAAACACCGACATCAAGAAGACATTATTAGTAATAATTTATCAATGTAAACCAGACATGTCTTCCAAAGGGTTGCCGATGTAATGCATAATTTATTAAATATGTTCATCTATACACACCTAAATCAAACCAAATGAGATCAAATATAAACAAACCTTCCACCGACTTTGGACCAAAAAAGGCAGACACTGGAAATAAATTAATGCTTGCAACATAAAAAAGGGTCGCATTCTATTCAATTAACAAACGAATTGTCATTAAACCAATACTGTGTTATTGGCGAGTGTACATGTTTGCTTAGGACCGTCCCCAATGTAATAGCACCGTTTCGTATTCATGAAACCCTGGTACATTGCTTACAATTTATTAATATTGAACGCTGATATTCGTTTCGTGCAAACTGCTTTAGGTTTATGCTTACGACAAAGTTATGTGGTTTGTTGGTATACTGATGACGGGTGCCTAAAATAATTATGAGTTGCGATTCTCCATGAGTAAGGTTATATTTAATCCCTTACTAATTTATTGATGAAATGTGTGGATGAAGCGAAAGGGGTAAGAATCGTAGCAATTGGCGGTCCATAGAGTCTGCCTAACCTCATGGGAGACAGACATCAAGTTATGTATCCAACATGTAACTTAAATAACGCATAGTCGTTAACTGAATCGATTTATATAATTTTTAGTATAGGTAATTTTTTATCCCAAAAATAATTAAAACTACGGAAATTATTGTCATATTAACCCTGTATTGTTTAAACAAATCGAAATGGACCGTGAGTCAAAGCAATAAGACTTTTAAAATCGCAGTTTTATTTGTATTCATACAAATTGTATCATTCAATACAAAATAAAGAAAAATAAACCTTATGACAAGACCAGTAAGGATGCATATACATGTTAAATAAAAAATTTGGCGTATGTATTATGATTATAACATAATATTCTAATTGGGGTGTGCGTTAATTACGTTACATGTTGTATATATTATGTATGTATATAATTTGTAATTTCTATACTCAGTTTCTTTATGGTTTTGGAATTGAGGTTGCTAGTGATTCCTAGAGAGATTCTCATTCGATAATTTGATTGTATATAGCTAAACATAGACCACATTTCTAAACACCTACAGTCCTGTATCCGACACCTCTTGAATCGTAGGGGTCTCCTATAATCTAAACGTCTCTGCCTATTCCTAGGTGTACACAATAGTTAGGTACTGAATTTGTGCCCAATAGAGCTCTAATATCTACAATGGTGTCTTGTGCCAAGTGGAGCTCTGCTTTCATTGTTAAGTTTCAATCAAATCTGCCTTACCTAGGACAAACTGTCCGGCTAACTTGAAGTTTGACAAACTGATAAAACTAGGTACCTACTCGACGAACATTCTGCCAGCAAGAGATGCATTGTCTTAGTTGTAACTGAGTCACATAACATAATATCACGCCTTTTACCCCCAAAGGGGTCGGCACTTAATGCCACAGTACAATGTAACACCCACCTTTCACTATTTATGTTATGAGTCTCGTGTATATTATTAACTAACTATAATGAAAACTATGTATAATGAATAGGGGGTGAGCCTATTGCCATGTACGCGGCACAATTCCAAACTATTTATAAACTAAAATAACTACAGCTAACTAAACTATAGCTATTATTGAGAATTAAAAAAACTAGTCATACTTTGCTCGACCCGGGAATTGAACCCGAGACCACTTACCTGGTAATCGCACTAGCGACCATTTGGCCAACGAGGCAATGAGTCATTCTTAGTATTGATGCAGTAAAAGAGCTGTTTATATTATACAGTTCTACAGTTACAGCTAATATTTTTAATACTATAATAGTAATTAGTTTCTTTTTACCTTTACTTAAAAGACCTAACTAAAGAGCCAAAAGACTATTCAAGGCTTTTGTTAAGCAGCGGACGTCTTTTGGCTAATGATGATGATGGAAACGAATTCCTAAAAACCTTCTAAAATTAATACAGATATAGTCGACTCTTACGTACGTCATTATTTAGTAATGAGACCAAACATCGCCTCCACAACACAGCAAATTGACATGGTCTGGTTGCACCAATCAATGTTCTAAACTTGGCCAACTAGTTAACACTTAAACACATACGCTAACGACGACGAGGTAACCTGTCTCTTTGTCAACCTAACTACAGTTAAACAGAACATTCTAGTACCTTGATATTCATAGGTGACCAAATACGTACAAGTTAACTCGTTGAGTACCGTCATTATAGACACAATTAAAGAACAATAGGTTGCGGTCACCGGAGTCCTCTCGGTGTTTGACAGTTTAATTTATTGATTTCAGCCATTAAAGTTATTTTTTTGGAAATAGTTCCTAAATTTTGAAAAATATATGATTATAAAACCTAGACGGTAGTTTTGTCTAAACAACCACAATTAGCCAAGACATTAATAATTTATTTTCAATATCATAGCTTTTACCTCAGCAATAACCATAGAATACAAAAAATAAAACAAAGAAAAAACCATTGATTAAAGAAGAGCAAGCTGCCATAAAAGATCGAACACCAGACGCAATCGAATCGAAAAAAAATGGCGCGAAACAATAATAACAATAAATAAAACGTTACCAGTTATCCGTGCAAATTATCGTCGTTCGCCATTATTTGACGTTCCAGAACTTGTTTGAATTTAAGCTAATTTAATTAACGATTGTTCGAACTAAGTTCACAAAGAAACATTTGAATTGCAAACGAATATAATGATTTTCGTTTTGATTCGTTACAAAATACGAACAGCGAAGTAATTATGGATTAATTATATAGGGGTGTAAATTATGGTACGGAATGTATCCTTGGCAACGTCATTAGTGTTGAATGGCGTGTTCATTATACTGTAGTACCATGATAGGTCTGTTTTGATTGAGATATCATGATCAGTTAATACTAATCAATGAAATAAGCCAATAATACAAATAACAATAATAAATCCGTAAACGCAAAAGATCACCTTATCTTTTGCGCCACATTTAGTACTCCTTTTGTGCTGGAATCAGAGTGTTAAAGAAAGAAACAAAAGACTTTGGTCTTATCATTGTGTATTTAAAACATTTTCAAATCACATAATGGACGTAATTTAGTACACCATAATGCCTAAAACCAAAATATTACATAAAAAAGTTATTCAATATAACAATATATTCTAAAAAAAGACTTAATAACTTAGGTATTATAATGGACGATAAATTATAATTTCGGGGCTAAATTCTCCGGTTTTCGGCCGCGAGTAAGTCACCTGATTAATTTAGATGTTCCTTCTTCCCAGTTTGTGACTATATCCCCAATTTAATCCTGCAGCTCGGGACCTTAGCTTATTGGATTAGTGAAAATTCACTAAGATGGCTCCTCTTCCTAATTACGTTTCTGTTTCAAATATTTAGTATTCATATTCGTTAGTTAATATAAATTATAATGGTCTTTTAATAGATTGCAATTTGTAGTAGATTTGTTACCAATACAAAAACGTATTATACTGGCATATTCGACATTGTTTCTCTATTTTAAAAACAACTTACAACTTTTGAAAACAACAATATATACGTGTCTCCACTATGAATTTCCTCGAGA